GCAGCGATGGGGCTCGGACAGTCCAGCAAGACCCTGGTCACTGACGACACGGACGAGGGTGAGGATGAAAACTTTTTTTTATATTTATCTCCCTTCTTTTGGCTGCTGAAAACTGTGCACATCAACTCTGCCCCCCTTTGTACTTTTTCTGCAACCTATCCAATGTGTAATTCTTACCGGTCATGATTAAGAGCACTTACGGCTAATTACTGTAAAGCTGATGAGGTTTGAAGCCTGATTTGCTTCATCCAGAGGAAAAATACTCAGCACCGCACACCACTTTGCTTTTACTCAAAGACTTTCATACTTTTTGCAAAAAATACACAATTACGTGTATAAAAGTTGAAATGCTTATGCCATTTTTGAATGTTATCATCCTATTAAATGGCCTTTATTAGATGATATCATCTCCATATGTTGCATTCAGACTGTCCCTCCTGTACCTCCTAGTAGGTTTAAAGGTACGCTGTTATCACTGATAATATGCAGCTTCACCCGCGTCTAAAACTGGAATTTTTTTGTAAGCTTTATTTAATCCTTTTCCTAAACTTAACCTTACACCTGACCCTGAGCACTGACTCTAAACTTAACCCCGAGACCCTATTATCAGCGATAAGAACGTACCTTTAAACCTACTAGGAGGTACAGGAGGGACAGACTGAAGGCAACGTATGGGAATAACAACTAATAATGAACATTTAATGGCTGATAACATTCAAAGCGGGTGTGGGTGATTCTTGCCTGATGATTAGCTTTTTCCAAATGGCTCGAGATAAACGACTAAAGGACTTTGAATGGTAAACATTTTAGTTTTGCTTAATTTTCCTTCTGAGTTTCCTGAAACCTTATTTTGATCTGAATGCAATCCAAAGACTCCAGATGAATTTAAGATGAAATTTGGCAGAAATAAAAGTGAAGTGGCTTTTTTCACCACGGATAGGTGTCAGCATCCCTACGTTTAATAGATTTGTTGCTTGTTATTAAGTCATGTTTGTGAATTGCAGTGTCCATTTCAAAATGTAAACATTTATTTTGTAAGTTTGTTTGCTGAGACAGCATTTTCCCCCACTACGATTGTTGTATTTTGGCATGAAACGGGAAAAAAACAAAAACAACAACAACAACAAAAAAATACTATTACTGTTATTTTCTCCTTTTAATTAAGTTAAAGCAGCTTTAATCAAAGGAGGTGTCACATAAACCCTTCCCACACTCTTGCAATGTTATAAACTCTTAAACCTACGTAATTTTAACAACATACGTATATGTATTGTACAGTACTGCAAAAGTGTACTCACCAGCTCTGTAGAACAGCAGCTCGGTTCTGGTTCGACAGACCTACCCTGCCAGTTGTGATCGGCTCTCTGCAGCCCTTGAGCGCCAAAACGCTTTTAGAGCAAGCCGGACCTTCGGCTAGCCAGCACAAAACCACACAATGGTCCAGATCGAGTCCAAATCCAGATGAAAACAGTCCCGGTGAGCTGCAGAGAAAACACCAGACCTCCAAGCGATGCCTCCCTTCTGGAAGAGGCTCCCTGGGCCGGCGAGTAGCTCTCACAATAACAGATGAGGCTGAAAGTTTGGTTCTGATCCAATTCCCGGTTGGTTGCATACGGCTCTCTGCATCCACTGAGCGCCAAAGTCACTATGAATAAGGACCAAATTTTATCAGATCGGATCAAAACTTCCCCTTCATTTCAGCAGAAAGCAACGGCAGGAAGCACTGTTGGCTTCTGGGAAATGTAGTCCTTTTGACCGGCAATACAGTATAAGCTTATTGAGAGAAAACTACAAAATGGCGGCGCCTGTGCAAAGTATTTTTTCATTAACTTTTTACTGTACAGTATCCCGTACTGTCCCAATCATGTGAGTAATATTAAGGTTGACAGTCGTGTGTCGTGTACAATCTTACTTTGAAAAACCACGAAAGAGCGAGTCCGCAAAAGTCGAACCACGAGGGACGACGGCGCTCAGTGGATACCTAGAAAACGGAGTGCATGACAAAGAGACGAAGGTCGGGAGAGAAAATAATAAAAAGCAACAGATTAATGCTGTAACAAAGACACAAGACATGTAGATCAAAACGCAAGTTTTTGGTTATACACATATTCAACACACACCCTGCCTGTTGAGTGTACATAATGATGTTTCTTGAGAAGCAATAAAGATGCAAATTGAGTTTTCACTGGTACTGCAAGGTGATAATAGCAGCAGAGAGGATTGTTTGGTAATTCTGCCGTGAAACTATAGGTCCGTGTTGTGAAACAACATAAAAACATGCTGACATATATACGCTCATCGGCCACTTTATTAGGCACACATTCATTTGCTTGTTAACACAAACAGCTAATCAGCCAGTCACGTGGCAGCATCTGCATGAAAATACCAGTATAGATCAGCAGTTTCTGAAATACTCGGAGCAGTCTGGCAACAATCACCACATT